TGTGTGTGTGTGTGTGTGTGTGTGTGTGTGTGTGTGTGTGTGTGTGTTAGGGTTGGGACCACTTTTTATAGTCAGCCTTATTCCTGAAAGGATCCAGCATGGTTATGGGCCCGGGGCTTCTTTCCCAGAGTGCACACTTCACCGTTGTTCCTTCCAGGAAGATCTCCAACACGTGGCTGAGCACTGGCTGGTTCACCATGACAATTGCTCTGGAGCTGTGTGACAAGATCGATGTTTATGGCATGGTGCCCCCAGACTTCTGCAGGTAGGACTGACTCTGTGCGCACTTTGTCAGCAGAGCCAAGCAGGCTTAGACATAATCTGATCTGAACACCAAGCACAGAACATGTCACCACACCTTCTCAGGGCAATTAATTAGCATGTCCCGAGTCCTGGCTCTAGAAATAGCAGGCAGCATTTAATTATGTGATATAAAAGATTGAAAGTTCTTGTTTGTATTCCTGTAGAATTAATCCATCTTACGGCTTCATTTATTCTCTGAATGTTTGTCGGCCAGAAGTGATGCAATAATTGGCATAATATTCATGACGAGCAGGCATTAAGAACTACGAGCTCCTCTTCATTCGGAGGGAATGCAGCAGTTGTTAAATGGATTCATGGGGAAATTCCTTGGTTGGAGAGACTTGGTTTGTGAAATTAAAATATTCCTCTGAGTTTCTTTCTCTTATCACATTTCTAGCCTGGGCTCACATTGCTAGAGCCCAAATTACAGGCATGATTATTTGGCTCTGTCACCTAAGGGCAGTGTGCACACATGGCTGGTGCTTGCTGTGGGAAGCCCCTCCTGAGCCGTGCCCAGGCACAGTGAACTGTGTAGCCACAGTGGCACTGAGCACTCTCCAGGGCTTGGTTTGTGGAAGGTAGCCTGCTTGAAAACGCAGGTGCCAACTGCTTCTGAAAACCCCTTGATTTTTAGCAATACCCAGGCCTCCTCATGTCACCCCTAATCTTCAAACAGCCAAAGCTGTGCAGGAGTTATTTATATCTTGCTGGCTAAAATGTGTGTGTGCACGCCTATCCTTTCACACATTTCAAACCTAACAGTGCCTCAAAGGTCTTGAGTCTTAAGGCAAAAACTATACTTTGAACATATAAAGCAAGAATCAGTGAGGAAATATACGTAATCTCTGTTAGCCATCTCCCCAAGGCTAGAACTGAAGGCCGCACACTGGCCACTTATAAAGAACAAGGGTCTATTCAACTCTATTCAGTCTAGAGGCTGGCTGCCCAAGATAGAGCTGTGATGGGTGACGGCCAGGATGTAACACGGTATCTCAAGGTGATGCAAGAGACTGAGGAGCATCTCTGGCTGTGTCTGTGAGGGCATTTCCCTATGAGAACTACCTGAGGGGGTGGGACAATCCCACGGACTGCAATCCAGGTAGACAAAAGGAAGCCTTGGGGTCCAAGTCTTCTCTGTTTCCTGACACCCGCTGCCATTCTCTGTTACATCCTCCACGCCATGATGGCTGAATCTTCTCAATCCAGGAGCTCAATAAAATACTTCCTCATTTAAGTTGTTTCACTCAGGTGCTGTGGACATGGTGATGCAAAACCAGTTAAGATACATTGTGAGAGGGGCGTAGACAAGAGACAGAAACTGGGTTTTGTAAAAGACCCATCTTCAAGACCAATCATGCATACACAAATCCATTAATCCTTTACAAAGGACAGAGCCCTTGTAAGCAAACAGCCTTCTTTAAAAGATGCTACCTATCTTTCCTTCTTCTTTTCTACAAGAGGGTTTAGGGTCTCCCTATGTAGCCCACACTGTTCTCAAACTCACCATCCTCCTACCTTGGCCTCCTGCGTGCTGGGGTTATAGTTATGTACCACCATGCCTGGCTAGCCCTCCCCGTAGTCCTTCAAACATGATTATTAAACTTCAAGATTAATTCTGGCAGGTGATTCAAGCCCTTGCTACATATTACTGCCACTGTGCCACATTCTTGTATTAACACAGAGACCCAGCACAATAGGATTCCTGTGGGTATATCAGATTCAGTCACAGAGAAGGAAAGGCCCAGACAGAGAAACCTGACACATAAAGGTAGCCCACGCAGGTCCAGGCTGCAAGGCCTGCACCCAGCATGATGAGCCTAAGGCAACCATGAACATGTGACCTCAGTTCTCTCTGCCTCGATCTCATCCACAGAAGTGGATGTGTTGATGACAGAGCCCACAGCAGACTGTGCTGGATGGATTAAGTAGGCTAATACATACAAAGTGTTTGGAACACTGCCTGGTATGTAGCAAGTACTAGGTATGTTAGATTGAGTCCTCATCTAGTTCCCAGTCACTGGCATTGTTTCCCTGTTTAACACCTCAGGTACAAGAAAAAGTAGAAAGACATAAAGAAGCAAGCCACCTCCTCCAATCAACAGTCTAACAAAAGATATGCAATGTGCCACCATCTAAGCTGATGGCCATGGAGCAGATAGAATTATGTAATATTGACATGAGGGTGCCAGGAAGAAAAAGCATGAATAAATTGAAATGTTAATGGCTTCAAGTATTCAAGGAAACATTCCATTTATTATGGAAAACAAATGAAAGGCGTGTTAACCTGTCATTTCTTGTACTCTCAGTTAGCTCCCCACTACTTTATTTACAGTAGGTTGGAGACAATCTATAGACTGATACTAACAAGGACATTAAGATAATGTCAACATGCCATATGCTGCCTCCAGGTCTGGGCTTCTGCTCCTCAGCTGCCATTGGAAAGGTTCAGCAGTTTTCTGCCCAAGATGCCCTGAGCAAGGACTTTTCAGAAGAGTGCTGCCACAGTTGCCTCTCACAAAGTGAGGTGCAAGGAGCCACGAGAGAAAAGGCTTGGGGCTCCTGTGGCATCCTCTCTAAGTGGTTGTGGCTGTTCAGGGGAGGGTAGGAAGGTGTCTGTAAGCTTCTCATTGCTGTGGCAAAGTTCCAGGCTACAGCAACCTGAGGGAGGAAGGGCTTACCTCAGCTCACAGTTAAAGGTCCAGTCCACCTGGCAGGGGACACATGGCATCTGCTCACATTGTGTCTAGTCAGGAAGTAGAGAGGGGCACAGGTGCCCAGCTCACTCTCCTTTTCTTGCAGCTCAAGGACCCAACCCATAAGATGAGGCCATCTTCCTTTAGGGTGTGTCTTCCATCACAATTAAATCAGACTCAAAGATCCCTCACAGAGATGCCAAGAGGTCTGCCTTCTAGTAATTCTAGATCCTGTCAAGTTAATAATCGATATCAATGACCACAGAAGAAAAGACAAAGAGAGACACAGACTCATGCCCATACCCACCCCTTACTTCAGAGATGGAACTACAAGGACCCACTTCCCAGCTATTTGACTTAGAGCCCGGTTCCCCCATCTGGAAAGTGGATAAAAATAAAGACAAGCTGGCTGTGGAGAAGTTGAGGAGATAGTACAGTGCCCTGTATACAGTGCCCAAGACAGACTATTGTATATCAGTAATCTTACTGATAAGATTATAATGTAAGATACACAACATGGTTAACATTCTTTCAAGTGTTGTTTTGCACTTACCTTGAAAGGTATTGAGATTTTTGGTGGGAGATTCAAAGAACAGGACTCAGCTCTGTCATCTCAGAGCTCATAACAAGCCTTACCCACTTCAAACTAACAATGACCATGGGGACATCACTCACCAGGTAACTCTTAAATGGCATGTTCTATAATCCTCATCTAAGCCTCAATGTCTTTGGAAAACAATGTTTTCCTCAGAGAATGAAAAACCAACCTGTAAGTTTGTCCTTTTCTAACTGGACCATTCTGCATTTGGCTTCACTTTGAAGGTAGCTGAGGAGCAGTGGGGACCCCAAGACCCTGCATACATCCTGAGCTGTGGGAGTGAAGATTATTATATCACAGGATCAGTAACAGTGTGGCCTGGCTTGTGTGGTGGCAGCTCCTGAGCTTGTCCAATGCTCCAGAAAGTGAGCTCTGTGTGGGCAGTTTTCTGTTTGATTCCGTGTTTGGAGCCCTAGGCACAGGGCAGTGGATATTCCCTGTCCTTCATGTACCAGGTACTTTTAAATTCATGGAGGTGACTCCGTCCTTCACTCTGTCTTATGGGAAAAAAAGTTTTCTATGAATAAACAAACCATTTCTACCTGTAAGAGACTTGTGACCTTGAGAAGGCTATCTGACCTTCACTGGTCCTTGGTGACCTGGGCCAGGCTACTCAGGGACTGTACCTCAGAAGCTCAGCCCTCAGGTCTATCATGGGCACGCCTGTGAAGATGCTGCAAGGGCACTGTGGTGCTCAGTTACAGAGGGCAGCCGGGTCCAGGAGAGGAAGGACAGGGATGGTCTTCAGCATGAGGTGAGAGTCCTCTGCACTGCTGAGCACTGATCACAAGCTGCCTGGGGACTCTCCCAAGGCCAGCTAACAGAGCACTGACCGTTCTCTGTCTTCCCCAGGTTTCCTGGCTTCTCACCATAGCACCAGACCTCAGTAACTGCTCATGTTCACAAACTAACTATTTTACATTTAAGGTGCAATTGGTAACTTCAAAAAAAGCCATTCGTTAATCACAGAGACTTTAGCTCACTTCGTGACCCATGTGGGGCACTAGGGAGGTGACTACAGGGTCATCAGGAAGGAGGCAGGGTCTGGCTTCAGTTCCTGAGTCCCCCTTGATCAGAGTTTAGTCACAAAGCTCAGGAGGTTGGAAGGGTGACGCCTAGGGTGCCTCCTTCTACCAGGGCATCTGTCCCCTAGGCCTTTCTGAAATCCTCATCCTTGGTCTTCAGCTGAACTTGGAGGAGTCTCTGCATCCCTGGGGTAGGGACCCTCCCTCCCCATCAGACTAAAGGCAGACCCTCAGAGACCTGAGTCTGAGTGAGCTTTCTCACAAGAGTCCTCTGCAACCAGAGATCCCTTGGCAAACAAGTTCGAAGGCCTTTGTTCTGAGACAAACACAACGTCCACGTGCTTTCAGGAGAGTGTAATCATCACTTCCTTGTCAGGAAAACTGAAGCAGAGGGACAAAGGACCGCGCTGACTCCCACAGTTAGACTTGTAGCCAGCATGGCGGTGGCTCAATGACCAGATGAGCCACCTTTTGCCTGGTGTCGGTGGGGGGGGGGGTGGTTGGGGCTTGAGGTGGGGTAAAGTCTTTGAGAGGCAAACAGATGAGCAATCCATGAGTCCCTACGCTTCAGGTGTAAGGTTTAGGATGGTGTAGGATGATTCCTTCCATCCAGCCTTATGGGGAGTCTGTCTGGCTGTCTCCTCCC